CATCTGCATGATGCAACTGGAAATGTGAATCATAGGACCACATGACTTTTGTTCAATCCTTGTGTTCCTGTGCGAATTGGAGATGTTTTATCTTGGTAACTGCAGACAGCAAAGGTGTTTGAACAGACCTTTGGCTTCCATATCCCATATGATGAAGTGTACGGCTAATTTGCCTACAAACATCAGGTTGTCATAATAATCTGGCCATGCAGTGTAGTTTGAGAATGTCCAGGCTGGATTCAAGTAGGGTGTGGCCTGATCATTATTCAGAAGATGTTGGAGCAAAAGAAGCAGGTGCCACATTATAAGGGGCAGCAGAAATGCAGGCAGGAGATGGTGATCCTTAAGTCAGCTGGTGGAACAGCTGTGGTTGAGCCTGAATTGGGTCCAGACATGGAAGTAGGTATCTGGGAGGGAGGTGGGAGATGATGGTGGGTTTGGTCCAAAAGACAAACAGTGATGACCCTCCTGGAAGAAGGCTGGGGCAGTTGAGACCCTAGGATGGACAAGGTTGATGGAGAAGCAGCTTCAAAATGGAGAGGGCTGACCACCAGGATCATGCCAGCTTTGGGGACAGGAGAAGAGGGCAAGAGGAGGTAAGGGAGAAGAGGGAATAAGGTGTGGGGGCGGGGGGAGAAGGGAGAAGTAGCCACCCCGATATGCAGGAAAATATGGACAGTATCAGAATCCAGACAGGCAACTTCGGTTCAAAGAAGAGGGCTGGTCAGTGGGGGTGAGTGCTGTTTTGAGGTCCAATTAGATAAGGAGAAAGCGCTGATGAGATCACTGACCCAGGATTTGGTAGAGGCCCTAGGCAGAGCAGAAGTGCTGAAACTTCTGGGCTAGAGCATAGTTTAGAGAAGGGAGTGAGGGAGTAGAGATGGCTGGTGAAGAAAAGTAACTGTGACCAAGGGGCCCTGAGTCCCATATTAAAAATGAGAGAAATTACAGTGTAGGCCTAAAGAAGGGAAGGGCTGGGCAGACACCAAGGCCCAGGAGACAGACCATCTAAGGTTATATGTAAAAAAATTTACATAAAAAATTTACATATAAGGTTATATGTAAAAAAATTTACATATAACTTTGACCACCTAAGATTATATGTTAAAAAATTTACATATATGTAAAAAAATTACATATAACCTTAGACACACCAAAAACTTAACTGTTCTTGGTATCCATAGGGAATTAATTGGTTCCAGAGCCTATCACAGATATCAAAACCTATGGATGCTCAAGTCCTCTATATAAAATGGTGTAGATCAATACTGAATTAGGAAGAAACTGAAAATCTGAACAAAACAATCACTAGTAAAAACATTGAATCAGTTATAAAAAAAACACCTCTGAGCTAACAAAATTCCTGGACTGGATAGCTTCACAAATAAATTATACCAAATATTAATAGAAGAATTAATATCTATCCTTAACAAACTATTCTAAAAAACTGAAGAGGAAGGAAAGTGCCCTGACCAGGGATCAAACCCACAACCTTGGGTTATTGGGACCACGCTCTAACCAACTTAGCCACCCAGCCAGGGCCAGATAAGACCTCTTGAGAACATTTGCTATTTGGGGGAGGAACTGTGTGACAAACTTGGAGATGAAGTCAGAGGTCCTCATACACCAGGCTTAAAGGGTTTACAACTTCTTAAAAATATATATTTTATTGATTTTTTTACAGAGAGGAAGGAGAGGGATAGAGAGAAACATCAGTGAGAGAGAAACATCAATC